CTTTGATGGAAGTGATGCTGATGGCATCCAGGTTACAGTGGGATTAGGGTGTACATGGAAAAAAGAAATGAATGGCAGATGAGGAAATTATTATTTCAAGAAGTTTGGGTTGAAAAAGAAAAGGAGTAAGAGGGTATTAGCTGTGATTTTTCTCAGAAACCTCATCCTATGGGACCATCAGAAAGGGAATAGAAGTAGGTAGGGAAGTAAATGTTTGAGTGTGTATGTGACCTCAATTTTATCATCAAAGAAGGAGGCATGATCATTTACTTCAGAGACGGGAATAAGAGATTGAGCTTAGTGGGGGAGGAGGGGTAAAAGAAGAATGGTGAAGATTTCATAAAATTTTTCGAGAGGAAATGACCACAAACAAAAGTATAGACAAATAGAACTAAAGGTTAACATCAGATATAAGAAATCAATCTGAGTAAGGGTGACAATGAGAATGGAGTGCGAAGGTCAAGAAGTCAGAAAGAAGACTGTTTTCAGTGGCTGTTTCACTTTAGCTTCCTCAGTGATACGGGCTGGGGTGAAGGGGAGACTGTGAGCCACAGTGAAGTCCTCCATGTGTAAAGTAACCAGGAGATGGGCAATGACAGGAAGTGGAAGGTATATGGCGATGTATCACAAAGCTATGTCTTTAAAAGCAGGAGTAATCTGACTGAGGGAAAATAAGAACTAAGTTTTTGGAGTTGCATGGGGCAGCTGGGAGAATGCTGGTTTGGAACTCTGGGACCTAGAACTCCCATGGTATGGGCACAGTGAAAGGGTTGGGAGAGGGAGTCAAAGACAATATTCATCATGAGGAAGAAACATAGATGAAAACGTGGGTAGTGGATGGGGGTGGGGAGAGAGCCCTTTTGTACATTTGTGTGGAGACTGCGGTGTGCAGTAATGACAAGAAGGCTTAGATTTGACCAAAATAAAGCATCCCAGGTTTGGTGCAGGTTGTTTCTGTGAGGGAATTGGCTGAGGTTCTTGAGGGCACCTGGTTGTGTCCCAACCTGTGAGATGCAGTCAGGATCTTTCTCTGGATGGGTCTTGCTCAGCCTGGGAAGCAGAGCTGCGGGTCCAAGTTTCAGGGCATGCGTGTATCCTTTGTGTCTTGTTTTTCACATGCCAGTTTTTAATACTGGTTAAATGGTTCAGCTTCTTTCAGAAGCTCAATATCTTTTTTCCTCTTTCTAGCTTTATTATCAGATTATTTCTTTCAGTCTATAAAAGAGTTAATCAACTGAATATTAAACTAGAGCACAAAGAGGCACCTTTTCTAACCTTTTATTTTACTTGGTCAGAAACAAAGCCAGAATTGGAGTTCATTGTGTGCACTTAGATATGGTGGTGTGGCTGGGGTCAGCGATCAGGGAGCAAGGCAGGAATTAAAATGAATGCACCAATTCTGGGGGACAACAAAATAGGGTGGACTGGACACCGGGCAAGGTTTTATCCCAAACCAGTGGACCACAGTCATAATATTGGTGAGGCAAGTGTGCATCTATCAGGGGCATGTCGGAAGTAAGAGACTGCAGCAGTGTGCACAGCCACTTGGGATGTCAGCTTCAAGGGGAACTTGTTTCTGAGGCAATTTTTACAAAAATAAAGATGCAGCTTCACTTTGGTTGGTCTGAATCCTCAGGGAAAAGGGTGCAGAGAGTATTTCAGTCTAGTGTGTGGAGAGGATGAGGAAGGGGAGATCCCAGCAGGAATTAAGCAGATTCGTGCAGTTCATCTCTCGTTTCACATGGTCACTTTGTGACTCTTATGCTTTTTATAACATTTATGTATGTTATTTTACCTTCCATGGAATAAATATTAAGTTCTTTCGGATAGCAAGTCTATCTCTTAATAAATAATTTTGGAAGCAAAATGTTAAGCTCTGAATTTATGGATCATATTCACTTTCCCCACCCTAGGTCTGAGCCAGATTCTGGCCACATTAGTGTCAAGCTAAGCTGTTTGTCCTCATTGGCTTTGATGTAAGTCCTAAAATGGCGTACCCATGCTGTAATAGGCAAACATTCTACACACAAAGCAGATACACTGGCATCTGTATTTTTACTTTCTTTGGTTTCTAGAATCATCTGGACACAAATCCTTGTTTCCAACAAAATAAGACATTTTTCTCTACAATTAATGACTGTTTAAACTATGTTTTGAAATATATTCTCTCTCTTGGACTTGCCGACTTCTATCTATATTTCCATGGAGTGCAGGAGTTGGAGCAACCACACCCAGTTTGCCACCAGCATGACATAACCACTCTCATCTGGAAGGATACTTTATGGTTGGAGGGAGGGATGGGCAAGGAGAAGAGGGTGATGAGTAGAACCAGTTAATGAGGTTGGTGATGGAGGAAGAGGCCTGTTGGAGGATGCTCAAGGGAAATGAGTGGAACTGCTGCTGGGTTGTGGGAGGACAGAAAGTCGGTGGCTAAGACTGGTAAATGGCAGACAGAAAAGCCAGAAAAACACATATAGCCCAAGGAAACCATACCAGGGACAGGCGATTTGGGAAAGTGAGGGAGGGGGAAAGAGAGAGAATTGTCAGGTTACCAACTCCTAATGTTAATGGGAGTTCTGGATAGAGACAGGGAAGGGTATGACTTTTATTCCATGGTCCCCTGCACTGCATATAGGCCATCTCTGGTTCTTCCTGCTCTTCTTTTCTTTTTCCTTTCTTTTTCTATTTCTCTTCTTTTCTCTTCTCTTGTCTCATCTCCCATCTGCCCCCCTCTACTCCTGTCTCTTGGCCTATTGAGGCATCTCCATGTCGAATAATTATTTGATGTCATCACAGCTCCAAACCATCAATTTATCAAGACAGGAAATTGTAATTATTTTTAATAGAGGAGAAAGGGAACAAGGATGTGACTAATGTTCAAGGAAAACCAGGCAACAGTTCAAAAAACACTGTGTCTCCAGGACGGCAGCAGAAGGAATATCCCTCTGATCACATCTGGCATCACCTCACCTCATGGAACTGGATGATTTCTTGGGGCTGAGAACTATTTTTCCAAGATATTATAACTCAATAAGAAAGTATTTTTCAAGTCCTGTTTCTCGCAAGAACCTCTAATTCTAAAGCAAAATCATTTTTGTTTTTATGTTTTATTTCTCTTTTTGGTTCTGTTCCAAAGAAAACTAAAACAATCTTTGGGCCCTGGCATCATCCCAATACCCCAAAGTTGTGGGTTTGAGCCCCTCTGGTCAGGGCACATACAGGAATCACCTAATGGATACCTAGATATCCCTCTCTCTCTCTCTCTCTCTCCAATCAATCAGTCAAATTTAAAGAAAGAAAAGCTCTTATACTACGACCAATGGTCTTAGCTCTACATATCTACACACCCTTCTCTTTTAAAAAATCTGATCTTTGTGATCTCTATTTCTTGGGTACTCCTTGCTAGTATATCCTACATAAGGTATCAATAAGTAGATGGCATCAATAGTGTGGCTGGGAGATAGAGCAAGTAAGAGAAGAAAGGTCATGCCGTCCTAACACGAGCTTCTGGGTTGGGAGATTACCAGAATAGCAACAGTGGAGCTTGATCCAACTTAGGTTGAGGGAACTGTCTGTTCAGTTGAAGCTGTGATGAGAACATTCCCCTTTTTGGAGTGCAGACCATGGCCAGCCACTATGGGAAGCATCCAGTGAGTCCTAGGGGCCACTGAACTCTGGTTTCCTTGTTCCTTCTTAGAATAGCTCTTCAGTGAGAACGGTAGGCTCTGTTTGCTCGTGGTAAAGTGTTAAGTTTCACTGATGCCAGGAATATGAAGGTCTTTGACTATATATGAACTTATAAAAAGATCAAATGCTTATTTCCTTTTCTTTTTTAATGGGCCATGGGGCATGTGTTTTTAATAGACTGTTGATTCTGTAAGTGTAAACATAATATTGCCTAGTGCTTTTAAGACCATCAATAAAGATACTTGGTATCAGAAGGTAGTGTAGTAGGAGTAGAATTTCTATGATTAAGGGGCTAGAAAGAGAAAAAAATATAATTAATATTCTTTGCAGTAGCTTTATGACACCCTTCGTACCTATCACTCATCTTTTTTTTTTTCCTCTTTCACTTTCTTTCCTAGCCACTATTTCCCTTTAAAAAAGTAATGTCTGGTTGCAGCCTGGCCGGTGTGACTCAGCATCCACCTATGAATCAGGAGGTCATGGTTTGATTCCCGGTCAGGGCATATGCCTGGGTTGCCGGCTTGATCCCCAGTGTGGGGTGTCAGGGGGGCAGCCTATCAATAATTCTCTCTCCTCATTGATGTTTCTTTTTTTTTAAAATATATTTTATTGATTTTTTATAGAGAGGAAGGGAGAGGAATAGAGAGTTAGAAACATCGATGAGAGAGAAACATCGATCAGCTGCCTCTTGCACACCCCCTCCTGGGGATGTGCCCGCAACCAAGGTACATGCCCTTGACCGGAATCGAACCCGGGACCCTTCAGTCCGCAGGCCGACGCTCTATCCACTGAGCCAAACCGGTTAGGGCATCATTGATGTTTCTATCTCTCTCTCCCTCTCCCTTCCTCTCTGAAATCAATAAAAAAAATATTTTTTAAAAAGGAAAAAAATGTAATTTCTGGGAACAAGCATATACTGAGATAAAGGTTCAGTTGGTCTTCTGATCATAATAATGATCATGCAGTGTGATGCAAAGAAGCTGGGACTGAAAGTTAGATGGCCTTTACCATGGCCTGGGATAAATCTCAGGGCAAAGAACTAGGATAAATCTCATTGGATTTATCTTGAAGAAATCATTTGGGTATAGAGTGGGGACTTGAATATGACATCAAATACTGAGTGCTAACAAGGTGGGGTATTATTCATCTTAGAATAAATATCCCAAATGTCTTCATGACAGCCTGGTCTCTGCCTCCCTGCCCTTCTAAAAGTGGCACTGGCTGGGAGTGTCTGAGTCTGAGTAGGTGTGGCTGTGCTCTTCTCTGAGTGCTGACCTCTCGGTGTGACTCTGACCCTCTCTCATGTTCTGCAGGGCCTACATGAGTGTGAAGGAACTGAAGGAGGCGCTGAAGCTCAACAGCACACACTTCCTCAATGTCTACTTTGCCAGCTCTGTGAGGGAAGACCTTGCAGGTGCTGCCACCTGGCCTTGGGATAAGGAAGCCATCAGTCACCTGGGTAAGTGAAGTGGAGACCAAATACGAATTTGTCAAAATGTTTCACTTCGGACAGGTAAGAGGTATTAGAGCAAACAGAGGGAAATACTCAGGAGTTCTAGACCAACTCTATAATCTAGATGTAAATAAGGTGATGACATGGATTGAGATTGATTCTATGTCTTGGAGGCATAACAGTTAAACCCAATGAATGAAAACCAGAGGAAGTAACAAAAGTAGAAAAAAAATAAAATAGAAAGTAAACATTCATTAGAATAAAATTAACAGAACCAAAAGTTTTTTTTGGAGAGGGAGGAGAAAAGGATTGATAAACCCCTGGAAAGAAAGAAAAAAAAAAGCCAACCCTGATCAAGAAAAAAAAAATATGAGAGAAGGAATGTATTACCACTATGAGGAATAAAGGAGGTAATATTCTTACATATACTTCAGACATTAATAGGCAATATGTATTTTCCACAAATGGTGTTGAAGCAATTGGACATCCACAGGCAGAAGAAAAGGAATCTTAATATGAATTTCACACCTTGTACAGAAATTAACTCAAAATAGATCAGATATTTAAATATTTAAATATAAAAAATAAAACCATAGAACTTTAAAAAGAAACATAGGAGAAAATCGTCAGGGCAGGACTACAAGAAAGAGTGAACTTATAAATAACACCAAAAGCATAGTCCATCTACTCTAATAAAAGAGAAACATGGTAATTAGCGTACGACCGCTACCCTTCCCATTGGCTAATCAGCATATCCTTATGCAAATTAACTGTCAGCCAAGATGGCGGCCGGCAGCCATGCACTGAAGCGAGCAGGGAGGCTTGCTTTCTCCAGTGACTGCGAACTCCAACGTTCCCCGCCTAACTTGCCGGCCTTTCAGCTGCAACTCTAAGCAACTATGTACTATGTTGCAAATAAGAAGCTAAACAAAACCCCAGAAACCGGCTGTCAGTCAGCCAGGTTCAGCCAGCCTACCACAACATTGTATCGATGTTTTCAGCAGTGAGGCCTCAGAGCTAAAGCTGGCCCAGAATAAAAAAAAAAGAAAAGAAAAAAAGGAGCTGTTGGGAGCTTTAGTCACTCGCCAACCGGAAAACAGCCCTCAGCCCCTCACCCAGACTGGCCAGACACCCCAGTGGGGACCCCCACCCTGATCCAGGACACCCTTCAGGGCAAACCAGCCAGCCCCTACCCATGCACCAGGCCTCTATTCTATATAGTAAAAGGGTAATATGCCTCCCGGCACCGGGATCAGCGGAGCACCGAGGCTCCCGGCACCGGGATCAGCGTGACAGGGGGCAGCGCCCAAACCCCCTGATTTGCCCTGCGGCTCTGTGTGTGACAGGGGAAGGCGCCCCAACCCCCGCCACCCATGGGCCCTGCTCTGTGTGTGACAGGGTAGAGCCATAACCTCTCCATCGGCCTGCCCTGAGTGTGACAGTGGCGGCGCCCCAACCCCCTGATCAGCCCTGCTCTGTGGGTGATAGAGGGTGGCGCCCCAACTCCCCTCCACGGGCCTTGCTCTGTGTGTGACAGGGTAGAGCCATAACCTCCCCATTGGCCCTTCCCTGAGTGTGACAGGGTGCAGTGCCCCCAACCCCCTGATCCGCCCTGCTCTGTGTGTGACAGGGGGCAGTGCCCCAACCGCCCTGATGGGCCCTGCTCTGTTAGTGACAGGGGGCAGCGCCCCAACCCCCTGATTGGCCCTGCTCTGTGAGTGACAGGGGGCAGCGCCCCAACCCCCTGATCGGCCCTGCTCTGTGCGTGACAGAGGGTGGCGCCACAACCTCCCCATCGACCCTGCCTTGAGTGTGACGGGGCGGTGCCCCAACCCCCCAATCGGCCCTACCCTGAGCATGACTAAGGGAGGCATCGCCCTGCTCTGTGCATGACAGGGGGCGGCGCCCCAACTCCGAAATTGGCCCTGCTCTGAGCCTGACCAGGGGCTGCACTTAGGGATTGGGCGTGCCCTCTGCCACCCGGGAGCAGGCCTAAGCCAGCAGGTCGTTATCTCCCGAGGGGTCCCAGACTGCGAGAGGGCACAGGCCGGGCTGGGGGACCCCCCTCCCCACCCCCCCGAGTGTACAAATTTTTGTGCACCGGGCCTCTAGTATAAATAATAACTGATAAATTGTACTCCATCAAAATTTAAAACTTTTTTTCCGATTCTGTTTAGACAAACAAAGAAACATCAGACTTGGAAGAAATATTTGCACATCATACATCTCACAAAAGATTTGTATCTAGAATATGTAAAGAACTCTCAAAACTCAATAGTAAAACAGACATTCCAGTTAGAAAATGGGCAAGACATGAACAAACATTTTACCAGAGAGGAAATACAGATGGGAAATAAGCACATGAACAGATGTTCAATATCATTAGCCATTAGGGAGATTCAAATTGAAACCACATGAGATGTAACTACACACTTATTAGCATGGCCAAAATAAAAAACACGGGGGGATGTAAGATACAGCCCAGGGAATAGAGTCGATACTACTGGAATACATTTGCACACTGACAGGTAGCTACTAGACTTATCGTGGTGATAGCATCATGAGGTATGTAAATGTCAAATTACTGTATCGGACACCTGAAACTAACAAATATTGTATGCCAACTATACTTTAATAATTTTCAAAATAATGACAGTATTAGATGCTGGTGAGGATGCAGGGACACTGGATCTCTCCTACATTGCTGGTGAAATGTAAAATGGCACAGCCACTCTGCAGAATACTTTGGCAGTTTCTTATAAAACTAAACAAACATCTACCCTATGCTCCAGCCAGTGGACTCTTGGACACTGATTGTAGAGAAATGTAAACTTATACCAAGTCAAAAGCTTTTATATCAGTTGTCCTAGCAGCTTTATTTGTAATAGCTTCAAACTGGAAATGACAAAAGTGCGTTCAGTGCTAACTTTTTACACCAACTGTAGTCCATCTATAGTACAATGGAATCCTATTCAGCAACAAGAAGGAACAAAGGACTCATGCGTGGAATGACTCAGATTGCTCTCAAGCGTATTATGCTGAGTGGGAAAAAATCCCCAAGGTTACCTGCTGTATGATTCCATCTATATAGTAGTTTCAATATTTTCTGTCAGTGACAGAATTATAGAGACAGAGAACAAGTTAGTGCTTTCCAGGGGTTAGGAATGGGGTAGAGATGGGGGGCGGGGTATGAGTGTGGGTGTGACAAAAGGATAGCAGGTGGGTGTTCTTAATGGTGATGGAACAGTTCAGTATCTTTTTTTTAAGTCATCATCCATAGATTTCTTTAGAGAGTCATGGAGAGGGAGAGAGGGAGGGTGAGTGGAAGGGAGAGAGAGAAGAGAGAGAAACATTGATGTGAGAGAGAAACATCAATCGGTTGCCTCCCATATGTGTCCTGATCAGGGATTGAACCCACAACCTAGGTATATGCCCTGACCAGGAATCAAACCTACCACCTTTTGGTGTATGTGATGACACTCCAACCAATTAAGTTACCAGGCCAGGGTTCAGTACCTTGATTTTGGTGGTGGTGGTTATACAAAGGTATCCCTGTGATAAAATTGTGTAGAGCTACACACACACACACACACTCACGTGTGCATGTAAGAGCTTGTGAAATCTGCATAAGATCTGTGACCTCTATGCAGAAGCAGAGTACTTGACATATAACAGGTGCTCGGTGAATGCTTAGTGAATGAAGGGATGAATGAATAAATGAGGGAAGGTATTAAATTTAAATGGTTTCCAGAATTATCTCATGAATTATTGACTCATCATGAATTGCAAAAGAAGCTGGGGATACTTATGTTTTGCTCTTAAACATTTCTACAGCCATGTCCCCCTATAGCATGATATGTAATGTCATCTTCAGAAGTAGCCTGAGCAGCTGAGAGGTCTGGTTCGATGTGAAATGACTCCTGTTCATACTTATTTCTTCTTGTTCAATCATCACTGTGATTGAACAAAGGAATTCTTTTGACCTAAACCAGGTGTAGAACAATACAGGCAGCAGCATAACATGATAGGGGAAGACATTTAGGAGTTTCTTTTTAAAAAAACACACCTATTTTTATTGATTTCAGAGAGGAAGGGAGAGGGAGAGAGAAAGATAAAAACATCAATGATGAGAATCATTGATCAGCTGCCTCCTACACGCCCCCCTGTGGGGATGGAGCCCACAGCCCGGGGATATGCCCTGACTAGGAATCGAACCTTGACCTTCCAGTTCATAGGTTGATGCTCAACCACTGAGCCACACCAGCAGGGCTAGGATTTTCTTAATAGTCTTTTCAAGACTTGAGATTACGTGTTTGTGTCAACACATAAGACTCCTGCATTTTGAGAGTCAGCTGAGTGACCTAGCAGATAAATACTGTAGCTGAAAGTTTGAAAATTGAACCCTACTTCTGACCACCAGTGGCTTCAGTGACTATCCTAAAGACCAAGGTGATTTATGGTCCTCCTTTGCCATTAATGCCATTTCTGCCATTTAGTGTAATTTTGTACTTTTAATCCTGTTAGTAACCCAGGGCAGAATTTTTATAAGTAAATGATTGTATGAGATCCCCTAATGTTTATTGGTTTGAGTATCTTTAGCCTTAGTGCTCAACACTTATATTGAAAATATATCTTTAAAGGCAGAAAACTAATTTAAGTGGTAAATCATTTATAAACTATTAATCCCAGGCGCATGATGATAATTCATTCACTCATTCATCCAGAACCTATTGAATCTGTTTCATGGCAATACCAGAGATAGGACAGTAAAGGAATTCACCCTAAAGGTTTGCACAGCTTAACTGGGAGACAGACATGTAAACACATACGTAAGGTGCAGTGTGATGATACCTCACATGAGGTCAGGCAGGAGCCGTAGAGAAAGTGCTACGTTATGCCCATAGCACCTGGGATGAGTTTCCAGAGGGGCTGAGGCTGGAGAGGAGAATTGAAAGAGCCTTGCTTGGCAGACAATGAGAGGGCATTCCAGACTGAGTAGGCTCATA